TCTTATCATTACCGCTGATTTCAGTATCTCTGATGTTTCCACCTTAGAATTCATGTCTGACAAACCCAATCTTCGTAATTTTGCTGCCTTCGTGAACTAACTCTATAGACTGTTGCAGTGTCCTATTCTGTTCTACCAGATTAAGACCCGATAATGAAAGTCCGTAATGAGAAAGGCTATGACTCATCTAGAAAAGCGAAAAATCAAACTTTCGGACGATCTTATGGGATTTGCCAGATTAAAGCAGTTAAAGTAAATAGGCTACACAGCAAGGGATGTATTCTGACCAAGCTTTATCAGTCACTCCTTGAGCGCATTATTTAAAAATAAAATGACTAAAGTATTTTGAATGGTTCTTCCATATTTACTCAACAAGGATATCTGATTCAAATCCAAATTGAACAGAATCATAGAAATTTCCTTGAGTAGCAAACTAAAGAGATACCTTAGTTCTCCCCCTAATGTCACTGACGACCATACTAATAAATGAAAGATTTTAAGATGGAGGATAAGTGGAAGAAAGGAATGCAAAAGACGACATTATCACAATTTTGCTAAGATAGCGAACCAATGAAACCAGCAGGAAGTGATTTAAAGTTGAACCTCCAAGGTAATTTTGGCCAGCATCTCTTGAAAGGTGAAGTGTTCGCTGATTATGGTAAAGCAAAGAAAGAGGAAACTGAGATTAGATAGGCAAAACAATCTCTGAGCAGTTTCTAACTAAACTGAAGAAAAAAATTGTATTATAAAAAATTATCGCGCAGGAATCAATGAATATGAATTACGAAGAGAAAAACGTTGCAGAATGGTTTGAGCCAGAGCAGTGACAAATCGGAACGTCAAGTGACTTACATTAATCTTATCTTTCCACCGACTGGACTGTACTATGGCCCGTGCGCAATCAGCCATTGGCTGAAAAACCTCCACAGCTGTGACTTTTTCAGCTCCTTCTCGCGCAGCCATCAGTGAAAGAAGACCCGTTCCCGTACCTAAGAGAAGCCACCACAAGATGAGGAAGTAGAAAATTTTGGTTAATGATAGCCTACCTATATCTAAAACGTGAGCAGGAATGGATTGTGCTTTCTTCTCTTGGATAACAGATCGCAGGCCAGCCAAGAACATTTCATTGCGATTATAGTCAAGAATCATGTCCGCAAATCTACTGCTGGAAAGGCACACTGTATTGATGTGGTTAACTGAAAGGCCCTATCTATAGACTGCGGAATTCCTCCTTATTAACAT